ACGCGCTGCGACCGCGCGCCGTGAGCTTTCCTCCCCCCCACCAGAGTCAACCCTGCGTTGCGCAGTTCTCAACGGCCACGTTGCGCAGTTTCGCCCGATTAGACACGTTCTCTCGCGCGAACATTCACACTCGCATGCTCGAGCCGTCTGCGTCTCCGCCCATACAGCGTGCGTTGAGGATCTCTCAACGTGCCGTTGCGAACTGCGCAACGCAGGGTTGACTCTGCCCCCTCCCCGCCGTCCTCACCCCAGCATAAAGAAGATGAAACATTGGAGGAAGAATCTGAAGAAAAACGACATTACTCATCGGACAACTTAATAAATGAGCAAGAGGTGCACACACAGACAGGCCGACACTTAGATAATGGTATAATAGAAAGAGGAATAAGCTGTCTCTGAAAAAAGAGTTTAAGTTATCTGATGCTATTTCTAGGGAGCATATTCTAGATCCTACATTTTGAACAAATCCGTTTATTGCAGTCGGATTTGACGGGCATATTCTACCGAAGTCATTCGTTCTATCCGTACTTCATCACATTGTGGGAACACTATCACAAGGCGAAATTCCTCGTTCGTTCTTGTCCTTCGTGCTCATCACTTATCAGTTTTATATCAGTACTATTCAGATAGATCCAGAAAAGCCTAAACCCGATGCAAAAAAGAACAAGGACGCTTTTGTTGGAAGTATGTGTTTGTTTTGTGATTTACCTTATCCATTGAAGGCACATACCAAATTGAGCTCGTATTTGTTTTGGTTATTCGGCTCAACTATGGAAATTTATCAAAGGCAAGACCTGGACTGGCTGGCTTTTCCTCCAGGCTGTGGAAAGTTATTACAGTAGGAGGCGGATAGCGAGGTTGGTGGTTGCCAATGCCGCAGAACGACCGACAGAAATCGGAGAGCATAGGAGGGAGCTATACCCCGATAAGCGAAAGATGGGCGTACACCAGTCCATGGGGCGTACTGTAATCAGGTACTAATTATAAGTTCATAGCATCCCTATAACGCATTGTGGTTGTGAAAGTGGTAACACCTCCGCAGTTTTGACCAGCACCCTCGTTCCGGGAGGAGTTCTACCAGCAGGTTGTGCTAAGTGAACATTAGCGGTTCCCGTATTGCCCGTCATGCACCGGCCATGTGTCTATGACCTGTAGTGCAGCGTGCTATTTCGCGAATTCTCGCTTCTCTGCCTGCAGTGACTCTCCGTCCTACCACGGCCGGCCTTGAAACAAAGTTCAGGCCTGTACTTTCAGGGTTTCTTCACTTTCCGAAGATTTTTTTCTTCACTTAAGGTCCACTCCGCATATCCTACTTCATTACTGGACACTCTCACTCACGTCATTACTTTATTTTTACGTCATCGCTTCTCAGCAGGGCGAATATCGGTCGAGGATTCCTCAACGGCTTGTCGAGGATTTTCGCCTGATCAGTTACGCTCTCCCGCGCGGACATTCACACTCGCCATGCGCGAGCCGTCTGTGCTCTCCGCGTACGTTCACTCTCGGCACTACTCTCGCACAGTAGAGAGCCATGGTCGAGGAATTCCTCGACCGTTATTCACCCTGCGAGCACGACTCTCTAACCGTGGAAGAAAGAGTGTATCAGGCTATTTACTGAGCTTCCTGCTACTTTGTGAGCGGAGTTACTCGCAGAAAAAAAAACAAAGGAGATTTTGGAGTACGGTGCATCTCTTATGGTTACTAGCTAAAAGAAATGGTCACAAGAACTAAAAACTGACCTGTGATTGTGGGTCCATCATATCTGGTTGCGCTGCTTCTCGTTAGAATATTTCGTTATCTATCTATCAATTGGCACATCATGAGCTATGATTGATTTTTCAAGGCAAACTAAACACTACCGTTGAACAGCGACTGCTGAGAAAGAAATATCTGAGGGACATCGCCCCTGCACGTAAGTTGAAGCCACATAGAAATCCAAACAGATAATTCGAATATTTCAGTAAAATTGGATGCCTTAGGTTGCGAAAAGCTCAACGTATACAAGTATTACGATTGCGAAGCGAAGGAATTGGCTGTCCTCAATCCGCAGTTGGCGCAAGTTGAGCCACCTCGTGAGTCCATGATTTATACGTTGTATGACAAACTGGTCTTGTGTAACTCTGATCTACCAGATTATCTTGCCCATACACTTTTCCTAAATGTTTCACAAGAATGCTGGGTTGTGAACAAAACTTTCGCCCCAGGCGGGACTAGAACCCGCACCTCTCGCTTTCCGGGCAAGTGCGCTACCAGTTACGCTACCGGGGCACCATTTCATTCCAACTCAGCTTTTCATGGTATATTTACCATAGCTTAACAGCACTCATAAGTCTACATAATAAACCGATTAAGCAATTAGATTTCCCTAATTGGTTTTCTCATTCACGTTCCATTAAGCAAAAGTGGTGTGGTGGACGTGCTACTTACTTGCTTGCTTGTCCCTGTACCCAGATCGAATTCCGTCTAGGCTGATTACTCTTTCCATCTTTAGCGCTTAATTGCTACTGGAATCATTCTGGTCTATATAACACTAACGTATGGTAAGTCCATCGGATGACCCTAAAGCACTGCTAGCGCTCATTTCCCTGATGGGGACATTCAAAACAAGGTATTTTGAAACCACTGGTAGGTTACACTAGGGCTGGTTACACTAGGGCGAAGTGCAGAAGAGAGAAGAAACGAAAGGGAAAGTCAAGTTTGCTAACCTCCTTCCTCAGAATCCCTTCTATCCAAGGCTTAGTCCCAAGTTATGTAAGTGGCTCACTCACTTCATGCCCCCACCCTAACGGCATGGGCATCTCATTGCTTATGGTTGATGCATAAGTAAAGCTTCCTAAGTGCCGACACACTCTCACTGCAGATCTTGATCTAAATGGGAGCAGAATGCGAGGCGTACCCCCAAAAAATTGATCAAAGTCAATTAACTTCTCCTTCATCCACCCACGAATAAAATGTACCCCTGAGTACATTTTAGTCGCCGCCTATCTGCGTCTCTTCAATCCCCATGCACTTCCCCTTTCTCTGCACGTCATGCATTGGTCGCATTGAGCGTCTCTGCGTCCCTGCCATGCGCAGAGCGCAGGGAAGAAAGGGGTTCGTGGAAGGTGTTGAGTGTGGGCAGCAAGAAAGCCACTGGAGCTATCGATAATATTGATAACTTTCTGCCAATAAGGTGATCAGCTGTCCCCCGCAGTGTTCCACTTATTGATCGTGTTATAGCTCCTTCCTTGGTCCCGGGAGCATTTCACTACTGTACAATCATCTAGGCCATGATCCTAGGTTACAAACACGTCGATTGGCGCAGTGGGTTCGTTCCTTGTTGACATTGGATCGCTCGCGGGATCAGTTCTCCATGATACTGGATGTTTTGCAACCCTCATAGGTTCCTACCTTGCTTTCTACAATTCTTTCGAAGTAACACAGCAATGCTTTGTGGTGCAGTGGCAAACGTCGCGCTCATGGGCGCTGCATTACATGGTTCAAGTCCATGGCGACGCGACTTTTGCTAGGAATGTAGTGAAGTTCGCCATTCAGAGCGGGGTCATCTGGCTGTCTCGCCTTTCATTATTCACCGTTTACGGCCGTAGTTCACCACCTTTAACTCCCAGTCTATGGCACTTTACTACCGTCCCTGTAGCGCTCTCTCGCCTCATACTCTCCTCTCCGCGCTTAGTCTCTCATTCCCTTAGCACAGCCGATTAGGAAGGTGAGTGAGCCCTTAACCTGAGCGTTTTCGACGGATTCTTTTCCTTTTTCTTCACTGCCGGCCCACATTTCGCACCAATACATTCGCATTCGTGTGCAAGAGCCACACCAATGTGATCCTGGGGCATGCCTTTAAACAAGAAATTGAACGCATTGATGCAAAAGGGACTTGCGGTAAAGAAAAACGAGAGAACTTGTCGAAAATGCCCAAGGTAAATGCTTGTGCTAAGGCATTGAGAGACTGAGCAAGAAGAGAAAGGATAGGAGAGAGCACAACGTGTCGCACACGGTGGGCAACCTCCCAGTACCTCAGCGGCTCGCCAAGGCTTCCCATCGTGTAGCTACGCCTCTCCTGCGCACCTCTTCAGGAGGTGCGGACCATTCCCCCGGGGACTAAGGGGACTTCCAGCCGGCCGCACACGCGGAACTACACTGGCTGGGCACAACGCGTCCTGACCCATAACCTTAGTACACAATGCCCACGGCTACACGTACAGAGTTAGGGTAAAACCACAACATTATACAAACACAACACATATATTTACTAATACGTTTATTATATACGTAATATGTATACCATTGCTCGTCAGACTCCCTGAGTCACCTCACTCATGGGTGTGCCTCACCAGCTGCTATATAGCTTAATAACTTCGTATAGCATGTCTATCAGACTCCCTGAGTCACCTCACTCATGGGTGTGCCTCACCAGCTGGCTAACGTATTAAACCCCCATTTGCTCGGATGTTACACTTCTAGGGGGCCCGCACGGTCAGCGGGTCCGAGACGGGGCGTGATACCAGGCTGCTCCCAGACGGGGAGCAGGGGAGGGACCACGACCAGTTAACGGGTGGCGCTCCGCAACCTTCCAGCTCGGAGGGGACATCTCCTCGCTGGGTCGGGTCCTCGCGTTGCGCGGTGTGAACATCGACAAAACCTGGGATTAAGCACTGGGAACGTATGAGACACTTCATCATTAGCACCTCAACTGCTAGGGGGCTCAACGCCATTCAATACACTCACCTGACAGCTAGGTAAACATGGGAGACGTCCGAGGCAAGGCAGGTCACCGCTCGCCGTAAGGCACACACGACGACTGCCCCGCTGGCACTGACCGTAGGGGCGGAGCCAATGACGCAATGGGCGCATTGCGCGGCGCATTGCGCATTGGCATCCGAGCATAAATGGGCCGGGGCGCGCGGGGCGCCCACGGGCCACCGTCGGCATCCGCGAAAAAGATGAGAGAGCGCAGCCCTTTTAGTCAGGGGCTGTTACTTTATAAGATTGGTTAAATAAACAATTGGGTAGCTATGGTATGTTGCGCAGGATAAGAGGAAGCGAAACGTGGATTGATGAGCTCGCATGCAATGGCCTAGTGTCTTGCTAAGCGGTTTTGGGAGATGTGCGTGTTATCGAGAAGATCTACTACGCTTACCTTTTCTTGCAGCGTTTATATAACCGTACGTAGGATTCTTTCACTTGACTTTCTACATTTGAGAAAATTCAGTCGATAATTCCTTTGTCAGATCATGTTCAGATTTCTACGGCCTATTTGGAGCACTGATCTCTCAATAAAAAAAAAGACACTGGAACTCAGTGAAATTTTATCTTCGACTGAAAGGATTGGCGTACTCGATAGGAGACCCCGGTTCGCGCCGGCAAAAAGCACAGGTATGCGGCGCCGAGCTCGGTAGGGTAGCTGTCGGGTGGAATTCGCTTAAAGTTCATGCGCGATTCGATAGCTTCTCAAGGAGTTGATAGGGAGCGATGAGCCGGTCCAATAGTACGTCAGCATGGCCGAAAAAAACAAAAAAGCAAAGAATCCGGTCGCACAAATAAGCAAAAATGGTCCTTTGATTTGCACACTACTCATTCCGAACCATAGCTGAAGCGCGGTGTAAGCGGGAGGTTGTCCGAGGTGTAACTAAGATAGCGCCCATCAATTTCAATAAGCAAATAGTGTTTTGATTGACCAGATTAGTCCCCCGTCAACCGCCGGGACCTTCCTTTCCTGCGCAAGCTTTCTATCCTCCGCTATGGTCCCTTCCTCCTGTGACACCAACACCTCGTGGAAGTGACGCGTATGCAACACAATGGTGTTTCAAACAGTAGAAGGGACACAATCATGATATGACGGTAGATTTTTCGCTTCCCTTCCTCATCCTCCCTTCCTCTCTCCACTGCCCTCCAGCTGCCACTGCAGCACCATGTGGAATGAACGGAAGTGTGCTAAGCAGGGCATGGTGATAGACTAAAGTGCACTGAGAGTGTTATAAATATCCGGCTACAGAACATTGTATCTCTAATCGGTAACTACCGATTTGCTTAGCGCGGGTTGTTGATATCCGAAATGGAGCTTCCTTCATCACTCCACTTTCAGTTTCGCGGACAGGAACACAATACAATACCACCAACAGCACACACACAGGAAGCTGATACACAAACCGACCACAAAGTTAGTATTTCATATGACAATTATTGATTGATAAGGCAATACGTGGGCAAGTTGGAAGATACAGCCGCTAGAAGGGAAATGAGCATCCAAAATGAAAAGCCAACAGCAAACAGTCCATCTAGATCATCAACAAAACTAGTGTGGACGTTCACGGTCACTGGGGGCGGGAGAGTCACAATGACGGGTGTGGCGCAGGTTCTCCCCCGATGCGGAAATTCCTTGTCGTAATCACTTCCTTTAAGTAAATGTAACATTGCACGTGCAACATCGCAAATCACGCGCGACTCGTTCGCTGACTCTGCCTTCTTGCTCAGCGACGGGCCTCCTGTCAGGGACCCGCAGGAATTCCACTCACTCTTAGTTCTATATTATGCTGTGTTAGTGACTCCTTTTGGCATTATTTTCTAATTGCAGGTTTGGATGATTCATATGTGAAATTCGATACACCGTTTTTCTTCATGGTAGTCAGAGAAGGGTCATTTGGCAGGATTGTACAGTGTATAGGTCGATTTGTGAGTTCTCGTCGCTTTTTAGTCATAAAGCCTTCGATATTTTGGTGTTTATTTCAGAACAACGTGTCAGCTGTCCATAAAAGCTCCCGCAGATCAGGTGATGTGGATGTCTAGAAAATTCGGAACCATCATCTCAGGAGAACGAGCAGCTCACTCTTTTTACTCAAACGATCTTCATCTTACATCAGAACTTACAATTACAGAACTAATAAACAGTTTTGCTATTGTCGGTTGTTGGCGCTGCTTACCATACTCACGGTTCCAGGATCAAAGCAGTGATCATCCGCTTTCCATGCCGAACAACATGGTAATACCAGGGGGGGATAAAAAAAGACATTTGATTTTTTTTTCTTTCAAAACAGGATCAATCACCATTTGTTAAGTTCAGGCCGAAAGTTGTGGAGCAGATTCCGCTTTATAAAGCAGCTTATTAACAACCTACGCGGACGACGTCAGGAGAGTGCCTATAAAACAGGTTCTCGAGCTCAACGAGGTCCTCGACAGATCGTGGACCATTACGATCGTACACATCTGAAGCACTGGTATGAAGAGGTTTTGCATGGTTGGATCTAATGCCCATGGGAAACTATCCACCAGCCGATCATTGCAAGAAATTACACTGGTGTGCAAAACTTAAGGACGAGACAGATGAAGTATCATAACCTTTTGATAGCTTTGTGGACCGTTTAACGGTTCCTGTTAACTGCTTTCTTTAGTGCCCTGTGGCAGCTCTTTGTATGTGTGGTTAGGTTCCATAGAGTCATGTTACGCGCCAGTAACACGTCGTTGGAAAAGCTACGTTCGTCCCTAAGTTTGCACACCAGTGTACGTAGTTGCTCCACCCCGGTGCAATTAAATGAATAATTCACGATAAGAACGAAGGTCAAGAAGGGAAAATTGCCTAGTGGGGAGACAGGCGGACCTCCTGAGGGTGCTGACCGACGCGCAATTGGCAGCGAAAGATTTGACCTCGGCGATCTAGCATGGCTCACTCTTGGCGCGGTTGGCGGGGTACGCCCACCGACTATCTAATCACTCGCCGCAGGTCTATACGTGGCGAGTGATTAGATAGCAGAGAGAGCGTAGTGTTGAAGAGGGCACAGCGATGAGAGTCGCATCAATGCGCAAATCAACGGGCAAGGAAGGGGTCCCATTTCTCGGGTTTCGGGCCGTTTCAAATGGTTTCTTCTTCATCCCTGCTCCACTGACCACCTTTATTTCCAATAAGCTAACTTTTCATTGTAAATTCTGCCTTAACGGGTGATAAGAAACACCCTGACATGAATTGAAATTGAGGCGCTTGGCATCTGGAATAACTCTGAGACGCGCCATGCACTTGATCGCCGTTCGAAATTCTGAACGCGTTTGCGTTTGTATTGGACATTTTCGATGATACGACGAGGCGTGCGATTTCTGAGCCAATGTACTTTTCTATAGGGAAGGTTTCCATAGTGTGTAACTCACTCCAAAGTTCACAGATGTCGCAACGTAATCCGACTGTAGCGTGTGTATGCGTTCGATCGATGCCAGTCGCACTCCCGACTGAACCGATTGCGAGGTCTCGATGTTTGTTCTTCATCCACACTCTACACCGCCTTACGGCCGACTTCTGTTCCGGTTCAGCCACGCCTCCTTTCAACCTCATGACCCGCCCCTTCCCCGTTCTTTCCACAACCAGCCTATCATCCTCGATCAGTCCAGTTACCCAATATGAAGACATTTAAACCTTGTGACAGGACTTATGAAAACGCCACGGCCCATATGATCCTCTTAGTCTGGCGAGGTCAGACAATTCCTTACAAATACTACCCATAATTTTATATAGTACTACGTTGTATAAACTATGTACATATTTGCCATATTGCGTCTTTTATTATTGACTTGTTTTGGTTGTTAACTGCTGTTTTTGGCCGCAGTTCCCGCCTTGCGAATGTTTCACAGAATGCTGGGTTGTGAACAAAACTTTCGCCCCACGGAGAGTCAAACCCGCACCCCTCGTTTTAAGTTTTGTTCACAACCCAGCATTTCCTTGTGAAATCTTTTATTATTATTTTTCATCCTTGAATAATATGTGAACATTCTCATACTCGTCATCAATTTAATGCGATGCGTATTGAGCAAGTCTTTCTATTCTGTTGGTGATTAATAGCTTCTGTCGTAAGGCGGGGCATTCTTCGGCCACTGCAAGTACGGTCGATCGTCTTTCCCCGCTACGCACATTTGCCCTGACATCATCCCTGTTGGACACCCTTACCGACCGGGCTGTTTTTTCTCAGAAAGCACTGGTTAACCTGTCTTTCGACCAATGTTAAAAGTTATTTGGAGGCCAAGGTGAAAGTCTCATCTACGCCGGTGCAGCCCATATGAGTGCCACTAAAACGTGCCTACCACCCATTTGATGTAGTTTTTTGCATTTGCGTTGATATCGGAACAATTAAACTTCTTACATCAAAGTCATCAAGGTCACTGAGAATTCTCTGTGCTATTATTTTTTGTTCTTTACTGCATGAAATCCACGGATGTGAGGTTAGGCGGGGGCCAAATCGCGCCTGTCCCGAGAAAAAGCGAAAAATGGCGTCGTGAATGTACTGCAAAGCTTGGAAGTAAGCAAACCAGCCCTTTTGGCGTTTCTGCTGGGGCCGTATGCTGAATGTTGGGGACCCCGACGGTCGACGGACTATTTCCTTGAAACCGCCTCAATTTGATGCTTACCTCAGGACTAAGCCTTAAAGAGAGGACGGGACCTCCTCTCCAAGGCTTAGTCCTGGGGTAAGCAAACCAGCCCTTTTGGCGGAGCTGCTGGACCCAGCTGCACCACTTGCGTCATCACTCTCCTACCGTACCGACCGAGTTGAAGTAGTCCGTCGACCTCGGGGACCCCATCCCCTCCCCAACATTCAGCATACGGCCCCAGCAGAAACGCCAAAAGGGCTGGTTTGCTTACCTCCAAAGCTTGGGCATGGTTTTCTTCAAGAGCGATCCCCGATCTCCCTGTGGAAGACCGCAAATTGTGATACGGGGGGGGGGGCAAAATTTTCTAGTCCGACTTGCTAAGACGTATTTTTTATGAGAAAATTAATTGGCATATTCATATTCCAGAAACATACTGCTATTCGTAGTCGCATTAACAGAGACTATAATCTCCTATGAGTAGCGAGATTCGTACAATCGAAAAATAGTTTGGAGAAGTTTTTGACTTGTTTGATAACATCTGGTAATGGAACAACTAGTAAAGCTTTCAGCCTTGCGTTTACTGCCGATATCGGCTAACCGGTTCATCACGTTATACGTGTGAATGCTGATAAGCTATGGTAACTTCACCATCGAAGCTGAGTTGGGGTGAAATGGTGCCCCGGTGGTGTAACTGGTAGCACAATTGCCCGGAAAGCAAGAGATCCGGGGGTACGAATCCCGGCTGGGGCGAAAGTTTTGCCCACAACTCAGCATTCTTGTGATAATTAGCGGGAG